TGGCCACGCTGTCTTATAACGTTTCCAGAACTTCTCTGTAGGTTTTAGTAGACATTCTTGATAACACTGACCTGTAAACGAGAATCATAGTTCCGCTGAGAGTATATGGTGAACTAGAAACTATATTTCTCTAGTTCAGTCTTCATTAGTTTATTATTTGTTGGAATAGTGTAGAGTTGTAATGACAGATGACAAAAGCCAGGCAACAGATTGTTTATTGAGAAAATCAAAATATATTTATAGACTTTTATATACATTATTGTCAGCAGAGAAGCGACGTCTTCTGATTGGTTGTTTTCTTCTGTACTATCTGTGACCATTTCTCAGAAAGTTAAGCCATATATCTGCGAATCCTATTTGCACACGGTAAGTGTGCTGTGATTGGTTGGTGAGTTTCTCAAGTTTAAGCTTCGTTATTGCTTTTCTCATGGCCCTGATTCCAGCCGTAACACTGACGTAACTGTCGTTTAAAATTCTGGCTTGTTCTCAACTAGCTCTTACCACAGAGTGGTTAATATTGAAATGGTAAAAAGTAAACCACTACGTTAGCTAAGTTATGGTGACAGGGTGCACTACTTTGAACTGCTTTTTGTAAGATGGTTTGGCGTACCTTTCAACCTCCTGGTTGTTGTTCCAGTGAGAAGATCAGAAACATTGGCACGCTATAAAGCGTTCTCGAATATAATATTTGATTAATCTCCAGAAGTATTGCATAAAATTCCCTGTTAATTAGTGAAAATTTACGATTCTTCCACTTACTACGAAATCTTTCGCTGACAGACACTTTCGAACCCCATCATATTAATAATTAGTGATATATTTATGTGGAAGTATAATCTGCGAAGCTGCTTGTACTTTTTGATTTCAAGCTCCTTTGCTTTTAATGCAAATTTAAGTCCATTTCACCGAAATCCGATGTGGTCACATAACTTCGTTTACTCAGGATTGTATTAAAGTCTGTATTAAGCTTTTTCGTGGGAGTGGAACAAAGGGATAGATCTCAAATTCCATAAAACCTCCCCAACAGTCTGTATAAAGTTTTAAAAAACCACTTCTAATATAAAGTGATAGCGTTTTAATAATATCCATGGTAAAAAACTTTTAAACTTCCCTGAAGCATATGCATATGGTCTCCACAACATGTATTCCAGCCAATTCCATTTCCTACAGCAATAGGTTCTTCGTCGACTCCCTCCTTGGTGCTAATTCTTTCTGACCACCTGATCTTCAGTAAAAAGCCTACGAGGGCAGATGCTGATTAAAGTCTACAGCAGCCTGTTCAAAATGCTTCTCGTGACCTGCACGCCAAGTTTCTGACCCATGTAGAAAAACTGACTTAACATTGGCGTTGAAAATCCTAATTTTATTCATTGTGTTAAGTGCAGGAGATTTTCACACTGATTTTTGGGTGATCAATGTCTCTCCTGTCCTTCCGATACTGGTTTTGCTATCCTCATCCGTTTCAGCTATACATACTTGAAACGATGATGCCTAGATAAGTGAAGGAAGTGATCTAATTATAAAACTTGGGCACTGTGGTAGAGTATAAGTACATTTTGGATAAGATTTTATTTTGATAAATCACACAGTGTTATACATTATTATTTACTGATGACTTTTCGTTCAAACATTACTGCTCATAATCATACTGACTCACTCACCCAACGTTATGCTTCATGTATATAAATCCATAAGGGAGTGACCTCTTTCAAATTTCTTCCGCCAATAGTGATTAGTGCTTGTTGTTTTTAGTTTGTGGTTACTTTCATCACCCCCGTCCTTTTCACGTGCACTTGAAGTCCTGCCTTCGATTCCAGCCTGTCCTGCCAACTTGTTGTCTTTGGGAGCGACGAAATCATACGGGCAATTTTTAGGCCAGCTGAAGAAGAATTCAGAAAACAGGACAAAATGGAGATGTGTTCTGTAATCACTGTGTTCTTCTTGGAATCCGAAGGAATAAAAATAATGATAAACAAACTTATTAATATCAGAGTTTTCAGTTTCATGCAAAAGTAAAATCCATTTGCTGATTGAAGAGACTCTCACAAGTAGATTTAAGAATATAATCGAGTCAAACTAGTCGAAAATGTTTTTAAAAATCTATTAAAATAATCCAGTTAGTTTTATTTATAATCACAGCTTTTGTTAATCAGATGTATATCATCGGCAAAGAGTTAAGAGTGCCTGAATTCACTTCTTAAAGATGAATTAAGCAGAACTACAGCTCGTCAGTTTCTGCTTAAGGGAATCACTTACTTTTATGAATGTAAAATTTCGACATATTCACACAAGTAAATGTGTATCATGAATATGAACCATGTGAGATGTGTAGGATTAAACCGCAAAAGAAGTAGAAAGACGTTTGTTTATTCAACTCATGGGTAAATATGTTGTGAGCGCTGAAATGGAAGTAATTTTTAAAGATTTCAATAGCTCGCATCACAGCAGGATAAATTTTTTAGAAATTCTGTC